TCTAAATGCTTACACTTCTACCCCTCTGTACCTTCATTCCAAACCCTTGACCATTTGGAAAAGATCATGGTTATTGTCTGTTAGCCAGATACACACACTGAAGGGCAAAGTACTCAATCTCTCTCTCTCTTTCTCTCTCTCTCCCCCTTGTTCTCTCTTATCTTCTCTTTCCCTCTCTCTCACACACACACCAGCCCACTATCCATAGGGTGAACAGAGTGTCCAGGTGAGTCAACAAAAGCAAGATGTCGCAGGATCCCCACCACTGACCAGAGAGATAGAAAGATTCCTAGTCAGAAGCCCTCCTACAAAGCCAGCTAGAGAAAGTGCATGGAAGAATCATTTTCTATTTCTTAAATTCAACTGAAGATTATTTATGCCTAAGATCTTATTAATATACACACCAAACTACATTAGTGAATATTGTGTTGGAAGAAGGAAGACACCATCTGGATATTGTCTTAATTTAAGTAAATATCTGTTGGTTGTGCAATCCCATAGGGGCCCCATAGGGAAGTGTATATTTTTCTGCCTACTTATACATTGATGTATAAGTGTTTTAAATAGATGGAGATGTATGGCATGACACTCTCAAGATAATACAAGGAAATACCACATATTATTTTGCTTAAAACACATTCTAATTGCTACTGTATGCTTTATCTTAAATCACAAAGTATCTCTTAATCTGTGGCCAAGTTGCAGTTTATTTTCATATTTCAGGTATTTTTGATTAAAAAGGTAAGTTTTTAAAGGACTAAACTAATTTTCAATATTACTCTTCATTATGTGAAATAGTCTTGGATTTCCTTAAGAATTCTGTTAAGCAAATTGTGGTTCACACCCAACTGTGGATTTAAGTACCAACACTTGTGCTGTTTGTCCAGCCACTTTTCATGTTAATTCTCCCAGAAGACATTATCAGAAACTGAAAATTAAGTAGTTTATTTGAAAGACCTTATAGATTTTAGAAATATATGGTATCATCATCTTTAGCAGTACTGAAAACATGAAAGAAATGTAGGCATTAATTAGATAACTTTATTAAAACATGAAATTTACTCATTCATAACAAACACGCTCTGTTTGTAGATTGTATACAAATTATTAACCTCTCAAAGGAAAAACATTATGAAGAAATGTAAGAAATGTGATTTGAGTCTCCTTCTTTTCCTCTTCTTCCTTCACGTAGCTAACACTAAGATGTAGATGGTACTTGTTTGTTTAATGAATGCATGCTAATGGCTCTCTTTTTTCTTCTGTATTTCTAAAAATAATGAGGCTTTTCCCTTCTACTTACTTTATTCATTAATGACTGAATTTACTGTATTTATAACTTCCTTTGAGAACTTAAAATACACAATGTTTCACTGATGGGGGATTAAGTAAGAATTGAACAAATCAGTAAATCAGCTGGGGGTAAAATACATTTGAATTAAAAAATATATATTTCTTCAGTACAGAAGTAAGGTCCATTGTTGGATTGTAAACCTCAAACATGAAAGAATATTTACTCCTTTCAATAATTCTGAAACAATAGTTCATGGAAAATTTGAATGCATATGTGAAAATCTTAGATTTATCATATGTGGTTATAACATTAAAGCCAAGTAAATATTGTTAATGAAATAATGAAATATTTTAACAGCATGAGATTGCATATTTTTTCTCTAGCAGGTTTAGATATGCTCTTAAAAAGACATAGCTCCATAATTTAGAATATAAAATTTTAACGTGGATTATCTAGCATAAAAAGGTATGACTTTTGGATTTATATCAAATAAAATTAATAAATAGAAAAATAACTAGAAGAATAAATCAATAGGAAACACATTTTTTCTTGTATGTTATAACCTAATACATATGTTCTCATTTTCTTAACCACCCATTTGCCAAAGGCCTTTGGCAGCTTGCAAAATTATGGAACTCCAAATTATCCATTGCCATAAAACGCCCTTATAAATCTGCTGTCCCTTTCAACAGCTACATTGAGTTCCTTGCTAAGAGCAGAACATTCACAAAATAACTGACCTATCCTACCTATGATTGTAATGTCTACTACAGACATTCTGCAGTAGACAAATGTAACAATTCACTAAGAGACAGAATAAATAAAATCATTTAATATATTTGAAAGAATAATTATCAAGCATAACTTAGCCACACTGAATGCAGCCACTATAATAGAATGAGTAGTCACCCACAGACAATGAAAGCAATCAAATTGTATTAGTGCTATTATTGCAGGTATTTTTGCAGAGGTATAAATACCTAGAGGATGTGTGAGAGAGAAAAAGGTATTTCCCATCTCCATGAAATCCTTCATTTGTACTCACTGCTGTATCTATTGTCATTTTTATATAGTAGTATGTTATTTATGGAACATGTGTAGCTTGCATGAGGCTTTCTCTGTTGAAAGCTGAGCCTTCCCTGGAGAGCCAGAAGCGGAAGCTTCACTCTTTGAAAATCAGTGTTTATCTTAGAAAGTATTTCTGGGTACTGAAGATTTTTAGGGGGAAATTTAACTGAAAAGTGAGAAAAGGGTTATGGAATATTGGGATGACGCTGAATGAACGGTGTTATGGGCAAAAACACACAAGGCTGAATTGAGTCATTGACTTACCTGAGGTAGATGCCAAGTTTCCATGTTGTACCAGTCAATGATGACACACAGTGGCTGATTACTAAAATGTATGCACTCAACTGTGTAAAAATTACCATTGAAATTCTTTCCAGGGATAAAAATAATGCTTATTCCATACTTCAAGGACATAGAATAAAATCTAGTACTTTAGTAATTTTCTTATAAAACTTCATGTCTTATATTTGTAACAGGGTGCAGCCAAGGGGGGTCCCCAAACAGGGAATTGTAATGGGATCTAGAACTTGGTGTCCAGGAAATATTAGAAAAATAAAATATATATAGGATGTTCTTACCCCCACCCGTCTAAGCTAGGGGATGGGACACATGAAGTGGAGTCATTGAGAGTTGTTTTGAATAGCAACAGTTTTTCAGATAACCTCTAGAACAGTCATTTAACATATCTTTAACATTTAACTGGTTTCATAGATATATTAAATAGCTGTGGCCTTGTTTTGAGCCAGGGGGATGGGAGTGACTTCAACCCATGATTTAATTGGGAGGCAACTACCCCTGGTTACAGAGCCTGTGTAAGAGCTTGGAGATGATTGGCTCCATGCCATGGGGCCATGCCTGCCCAGGCTTATTATGGCAGTCCAGTAAAGCTGGAAAAAATGCTTACTGCTGTGGCCTATTATGGGAGGAGTCAGAAATGGTGTGGCAGAGAAAGATTGGTGCTGGGATTTAAACCCAGGTGCAGCAGCCATGCAGTGTCTTTTTGGGACCATGCGGCTTGGGCAGAGAAGAACCACAGACTTCTATTTCTTTTTTTGAGACATGGTACCCTGGACTGGGCAGAACGGGAAGGAAGGAATATGCATCTGTGGGTATTCTAAAGGACTTTGGGATCTCAATGAAGACATGAAGTCATTACTCATAAGTCTGTATAACTCTTTAAATAAATAACCCCTTTCCTTTTCACCAATCTCTGGCATTGAGAGATGTCTTTTCCTGGTGGTGGGCAAGGCGAACCTAGTACAGGGTGGGGGACCCCTGGAGCACAAGGGTGGGTTCATTTGGTAATAGTATATCATTCACCCATCCTGGATCTGTTCTGTAACATATTTACTATATATTCTATTTAAAATCCACATAGTGAGTGACATACATGTTCTTCTGATAATTATTTTGCTATTTCTTAAAAGTGAAGGAAAAATTTACATCAGTTGTCATTTTGTTCTCTGAAAATCACAAATACTGATGATTTTTATAAGTATAATATCACACTGACTTAATCTAATAATCAGAATAAATGTTAAAATGACCAGAAACTATTTATAGCTTTTAATGTTTTATATTAAATGTTCATGGGCAATAATTACTTTATGAGAGCCCAAATTTTGGCAAATTCAACAAAACCATTGTCTTATTATATTTTCTTAAGAGCCATCTGAATTATAATTCACTTTCTTGAGCAAAACATGCATACATTTGTTACAAAGAGAAAATTAGTGTTTTTCTAGAGTTGATTATGAAAACATAAAGTGTGTTTTATGTAGTAAGGTAGTATCCCTCCCTTGAAAATCTTCCCTTGGTTGCATTGCATTCTTACAAAACTAATATTCTTCAAAGAGTGTTCGGAAATTTGGGGCTTCAACATACATGATAAAGAACTGTGACTTAACAAAGACAGAAAAGGAATCATAGATGAGAAACAAATTTAAGCAACATGAATTAACTTTTCACGGGGTAGACTTTTTGAATGATTATTAAAATGTATTCCTTTAACCTAATAATTATTGATCTTCTTTTATGTGCCCAATATTTTTTTGAATTTACCACATTTATTTTACATCGTGATTTCTTATTAAGTTAATACAATTTGGAGGAATAAATACTCCTTTCTCTTTTTTACTGCGTGTGTACTAGTAGATATAGTAAGGACAATATGGGAGAACAGGCAAAGGTTATAGAAAGTGGAAAGATAAAGTTGAAGGGAGAGACAAAGTGAGTGTTATATAAGCCCTCTTGTCCCTAATAATTTCTTATTTAGACTTTTGAACAAAAGAATAAAGGTAATAAAAGAGTAAAGGTAGTGTTTTACTTTTTTTTCACTGTCTCCTCTCCAATATCAAACAGGCTAAACAGAAGCCAAAAGACCACATAAGATTCAAAAAGGCTATTTAAAGGTAGGAGTGTGGAGTCAGAGACAGTTTATAGCAATACAAAAAAATAAGCTGGCTGATGCTGCAGGATGCTTTTAAGACAATGAATGCCTCAAAACCAACAGACTACCTACTAACGAGCTGCTCAGTGGCATCGTCTTCAAAGGGGTAGTGGGCATGTGTGCATACACAGACACACACATGCTCATTTTATAAAAAAAGTGTTAGAGATAAAATAAGGGGAATAAACTTACTGAGAAGTCTTCAAAAATTTTCTTGAGTTCTTTGTGACCGTGCCTTTCAGCAATATGTGCTGGATCTGAACCCTCCGAATTTTTCATCTGAGATGCTGAGGTTGCTCCTGAACATTGAAGCAAATGAATGGCCAAGTTCTTTAAGCCAAATTTTGCTGCACAGTGGAGAAGAGTTGGAAGTTCTTTGAAATTCCTTTCTGTAAACATAAAAATTAATAGAATTTAATGTTTTTTTCATATCTGCAATCCCCTAAGAAGTTGAATGAAATCTGCTCCTAAAAGTAATTCCCACATACGTCGTGTACGCACACACCCACGTGTACGCACACACCAGAAGACTTTTAATGTGATTTTACATCTAAGAAAACCGTAAATGGTTTTAGCAATGTAGAATCTCCCCTTTCTATGTCTCATCTTAAAGAACAGGGTACAGAACAAAGAACACCCATTTTTTATTACAAAACCTTTATTACAAAATCATAAACATGTAATTCTGTAACATAGCAATATCACACTCAAGCACACATGGCATTTTAGGTAAAATGTTGCATTTAAACTATAAATTATTACACCCATATTATTACCCTACCAACCACACTCAAGCAGGCCTTACTTCTTCCAGATCCTGTATATATATACACACAAATATTCTCACTGACAGTTATGTCTAACTCTTACTTGTGGGTAAATTTAATTTAGAAAGGAATATAAACCTCTTAAATGTAAGAAAACAAAACATGTTGTAATAATGCCTTTTGTTTTTCAATTTAATCTTTTTATATATATATATATTACCTTTTAGTCTCCTTATATCCCCCTCCACCCAGCAATCACTACACTGTTGTCCACGTCCATGAGTCCTTTTTCTTTTCTGCTCAGCCCTTTCACCCTCTAATCTCCCCGCCACTAGCTGTCATTCCTTTCCATCTATGTGTCTGTCCCCATTTTCCTTGTTAGTTCAGTTTGTTCATTAGATTCCACATATGAGTGACTTTCTCTGACTGGCTTATTTATTTAGCATAATGTTCTCCAGGTCCATCCATACTGTTGCAAACGGTAAAATTTTCTTCTTCTTTTTATGGCCCAGTAAGTATTCCATGAGTATTCTCTAGTTCTTGCAGATTTAGTTTTGTAAGACTATGTGTTTTTAGGAATCTATCCATTTCATCCAGGCTGTCCAGTTTGTTGGCATTTAGTTCCTCATAATGTTTTCTTACATTCTTTTGTATTTCTTTGCTGTCAGTTGTTATTTCTATTCTTTCATTTCTGATTTCATTTATTTGGGTCCTTTCTCTTTTCTTCTTGATGAGTCTGATTAAAGTTTTGTCGATATTGTTTATCTTTTCAAAGAACCAGCTCTTGGATCCATCGATCTTTTGTATCATATTTTAGACCCTATTTCATTTATTTCTGCTCTAATCTTTATTATTTCCTTCCTTCACTCACTTCGGGCTTTGTTTCTTCTTTTTCAAGTTCCTTTAAGTGTGAAGTTAGAAGATTTAATTGAGCTATTTCTTGTTTTCATGATAGGCCTGTAATGCTATGAATTTCTCTCTTAGGATTGCCTGCAGGTTTTGGATTTTTGTGTCTTCATTTTCATTTTTTTCAAGGTATCTTTTGCCTTCTTATTTGATTTCATTATTCACTCTTTCATTGTTTAATAACATGTTATTTAGCATCTATGTCTCTGAGTGATTTTCAGTGTTTTTCTTGTGATTGATTTCTAATTCCATAGCATTGTGGTCAGAGAAGATGCTTGACATGATTTCAGTCTTCTTAAATTTATTGAGACTTCTTTTGTGTCTTAACATGTGGTCTATCTTAGAAAATGTTCAATGTGTGCTTGAATAGTACATATATTGTGCTATTTGGGGGCGAAATGCTCTAAAGATGTCAATGAAATCCATTTGACCTAGCATGTCATTTAGGACTTCTGTCTCCTCATTGATTTTCTCCCTGAAAGATCTATCTATGGAAGTCAATGGGGTGTTAAAATCCCCATCTATGACTATACCTGCCGATCTCTCTTTTTATGTCTTTCAATATTTGTTTTACATATTTAGGTGCTCTATGTTGGGTGTATAAATGTTTACTAGGTTTATAATCTTTTGTTGGATTGTTCCCTTTACCATTATGTAGTGTCCTTCTTTTTCTCTTACTATATAGCCTTGGTTTTAAAGTCTATTTTGTCAGATATATGTACAGCTACTCCTGCTTTCTTTCTTTTCCATTTGTATAAATAATCTTCTTCCAACCCTTTACTTTTAGTCTGTGTGTATTTGTCAGTGTGAGATCGGTCTCTTAGAGGCCCCATATTTATGGGTCTTGTTTTCTTATCCATTAAGCTACCTTATGTCTTCTGTTCAGAGCATTTAAGCCATTTACATTTAAGGTGATTATTGAGAGGTACACATCTAGTGCCATTTTATTGTTAGACTGTTTTCTTCTAGTTCTTTTTCTTTCTTTTTCCATATTCTTAAATATTAAATATTATTTAATTTTAATACAATTTTATTTATATATAATTTTAATTTATTAATATAATTTTACTTAATTAAATACTAAATGAAAATATTAAAGCCCTTTAATATTTGTTGCAGTACTGGTTTGGTGTTAACAAACTTCTTTAGCTTTTCATGTCTGGGAAGCTCCTTATTTCTCCTTTGATTTTAAATGTTAGCCTTGCAGGGTAAAGTAGCCTTGGTTGTAAGTCCTTGCTTTACATCACCTTGAATATTTCATACCACTCCCTCTGGCCTGAAATGTTTCTGTTGATTAATCAGATGACAGTCTAATTGGTGCTTCCTTGTGGGTAATTTTCTGCTTTTCTCTTGTGGCTTTATGGTTCTCTCCTTGTCTTTAAGCCTTGTCTTTTTAATTATGATATGTCTTGATGTAAGCCTGTGTGGGTCCCATTTGTTTGGGAGTCTCTGAGATTCCTGGACTTGTGTGTGACTCTTTCCTTCACCAGATTAGGGAAGTTTTTGGTCATTATTTTTTTCAAATAGGTTCTTGATACCTTTCTAGCTCTCTTCTCCTTCTGTAATTCCCATAATGAAGATGTTGTTATCATTCATGTTGTTCAAAATGTTTCTTAGGCTCTCCTTATTTTTAAAAATTCTTTTTTCTATTTCCTGTTCTGCCTGGGTGTTTTTTTTTTCTCTACCTTTTCTTCCAAATCACTGATGCTATCCTCTGCTCCATCTAACCTGCTATGTATTCCCTCTAAGATATTATTTATTTCAGGTATCGAATTCTTTATTTCTGACTGGTCATTTTTTTTGGTTTCCATGTCTTTTTTTTATGCTGTTGATTATCCTTATAATCATTATTCTAAACTCTCTATCTGATAAATTGATTATCTTCATTTCATCTAGTTCTTCAGAAGAATCCTTTCATTCTTGCATTTGAGATCTGTGTCTTTGTCTTCCCATTTTAGCTACTTCTTTGTATTTTCCACCTTAGTTGTTAAGCTAATGAACCATTAAACTGATCAACCGGTGAACTGATCAAGCTTTAATCAGCACACCAGCTTAAGCTCCACAGGGTGGGGCAGAAGATTTCTTGTGGGTGGGGCTCTTGCTTCCCCTCAGGCTGATGTCACTTGGAGTGCAGTTCTCTGCCACAAAAGATGGCTCCTGCAGTATGGGGGATGACTCAGCACAGGGAACCTGGTAGCTGTTTCTTCAGTTCTCTCCCTAGAGCCACCAACCCCAGAATCTCTTCAAGCATCTCTAGTCTACTCTGCCCTTCTTCTGCTGGAGCCCAGGGAAAGTGGCTGCAAATGAATTTTTGTGCATTGGTCCTTTAAGAGCCCCTCTGCATCTCCAGCTGTCTCTCTCTAGCTGCTTTCCACAGCTTGATGTGATCTGGGTTCCTCTCTGGCTCTGTTGCTGTAGGTTGGTGAGTCCACATTGAGGTTTAGACTGCACACTTCTCAGAGGAACACACCAGCCACTGAAATATCCCTCTGCACCTTCAGTTGCCACCCGTGGGAGCCCAGCCAGCTATCTTGTGTCTCCACATTCTCTACCAGTCACATTGTGGTGAAGTGGTTTCTTCTGTCTATCCGTGGTTATAAGACTTCTCTCCAGCTAGTTCAGTAGGTTATTCAGGATGCTTTCTATACATTTTTTCTTATTACTTTGGCCTGGTAATTCCATCAGACAATTATATTTTATAATGCTTTTTAATGAAAAGAAATATAAAATTATATCTTAAGACCTTTTAAAGAAAATACACTATTTTCTGGAATAGTTGCAATTCTAGATTGGTCCAGGGAGGAGGTCAGTGTAGTTTCCACTTACTCCTCTGCCATCTTGGCTGTCTCCTGTAATAACTCCTTTTGAATGTATTTTGACATTAGTGAAACACTAAATAACAAATTAAATAAGTTCATTTATAAAACCCTTTTGTACTTTCTACTGCCATGCCTTGTTTTCTTTTTCTGAAGTTTAAATAAACATGAAATTCCTAGAGAGGTATATTAGATTTCTACGTGATTTTTTTTTCCCCCTAAAGGATATGCAACTGAAACTATAGCTAAGTACTTATATAGGGTTGGCCAGAAAGTCTGTTTAGTTTTTTCCCCTAAAATAAAGGACACATTTTTCATTTCCCAAATCAATAACTTTATTGATTTGGATATTTAGAGTATGTCAGCTCTCTCCTATGTGGTATAACATTGATTGTTTTCAGTTAATGTCTCAATTTGATCACTATCAACTACAACTGGTCTGCCTGACCGTGAAGCATCATCCATAGAGAAATCTCTAGCTCAAAACTTTGCAAACTACTTTTGACATGTTCAATCAGTCACAGCACTTCCTCCATACACTGCACAAATCTTTTTTCGTGTTTCACTTGTGTTTTTACCTTTCTTGAAATAATAAAGCATGTGCTGAAAGTGTTGCATATTTTTTCCATCTTCTATACTAAAATGGCTACACGAATATTCACCAATTTTGATAAGTTTTTTAAATGCACACTGATATGACAGCTGTCACAACAAAATCTAACAAAATTGTTTCAAATGACGTTAAAGACAAATAAGCACTGCTAGAGGCATCTCACAGAAAAAGCAAATGAACTTTTTGCCTGACCCAATATAAACATCTCCAGTTTGGAAATTTCCATTAGGATTTTAAGTTTTCATATCAATGTTTGAAGTTTGAACTTCTTAGTTACTTATTAGTTA